TGTTCATACTATGTGGGAGGATTATATTAAAGAGTAGTACACTACAATTTATGTTCAATTTTTTTTATTGAATTAAAGTTAGATGGAAGTACTACAATGGAGAACAAATAGTTTTGTAATAATTTATTATGCGATTTTATAAATTTTTATTTATTTGGTAAGATTGAATAACAATTGAGGCTATTTTAATAGTTTTACAACTTATGAGATTCTTATGTTTATGAGAAAATATACAACACAAAAATTTCATATGGCATGTCCAAACAAAACTTCAATTTCATCTCATAATTCCATATTATGATTTCATATCGCATGGCCAAACGGACATGTATAGAATAAACAACTCTTTCCCTTAGAAATATAATAATCATATACATAGCTTGCAAAAAGAATAAAGGTCACACGAGGAGAATCCTAATTGCAATAATATTCTGTAAGGAATGAATGCATGCACCTTGAATTATTCTATAAAAATATATCCATTTGCCATTCCATTAGTTAAAGAAGAAAATTAAGAAAACAGATTTTCCAATTATATAGAACGAAGGAACCAACCCAATCAGTCTGTATTTAGGAGTATTTAGATTAAAGATGTTATCTCTAGATTATAATACAGAATGATTAAGTTGGTTTATTTTCAATATATGAGTGTGCATAAAAAAATTAAACACTAGTATTGAATTAAAAATTCAATTTCTTGAAAATCGACGGTAATTTTTTCATCGGTCAATTTTAACATACAAAGAATATGAACTTAAACTAAATCTCCGTCTTTTAAAATGGGGAGGCTTCTAAAACCCATGGAGAGATTTTTTCATTGGCTAATTTTATAATTTTGTTAACAATTAAATAAAATAGCAAAAGATAAATTGATTAAAATAATAGTGGACGGGGGCAGTGGTATTTTAATGGTGTTTATCGGAACAGTGGTGGTGGAGTTCCAGTGGGGTTTTGGTAGTTAGTTGTCGGTAATGGGGGCTGCGATGCTGGACAATGAATAGGATAATAGAGGACTTCTTAGGTCTGTTGCTGTTCGGAACAGTGAGGGTGAGAGCAATGGAATTGGGGTCTTTTGATGGTGGTGGACTGGTTGAGCTCCAGTGAACTCATCGGAAAAATAATAAACAAGACCCTTTTTGTGAACAAAAATTTGAAAATTTATTCACTCACATAATCTAAAATATCCACCACCCCTAACTTAATGACCAAAATATTCTTTAAATAGAAAATTGAAAATCCCCAATAGTGCAATACCATTATCTTAAAACTGTGGACCAAAATCATTAGTTAATAAAATATCTGTGTACGAAATTGTCACGCCCCGAGCCTACACCTTGGGCGGGACCGGCACCCGGAGACCATTTTCTGGCCCCAAGCGAACCCTTGGCCTGACTTTCTTAACTCAGCGGAAACCTAACCCAACAGAATAACTCAATGCAATGCAATATTACAAAACCACTTAACTGATCAAGTATGGCCATAAAGGCAACTCGAATCTCAAAATAGAATATTTACATATATACATAGATGAGAGACTCAAAACTAACTGACTGGCTGTCTGTCTATGAAGCCTCTAAAATACTGAGATGGATGTTGGGACAGACCCCGCAACATCCTAATAAAACAAAAACTAAGAACACAAAATAATTGAGTCCTCTGGAATGCAAGGAGGCTCACCACTGACTCTGGAGTGCTCAGCTGGATCACGACGTGCAAGATGCTGATTCGGGGTACCTGTATCTGCATCATAATACGATGCAGGCCAACTAGCATCAGTACATGGAATGTACGAGTACGCGAGCTGGAAAACTAAGCAACGTAGGCTAGATGGAAATTTGGAAGAAACTGAAAAGTTTACCTTGCTCAACTCAACTCAACCTGACTGACTTCTTTCAATATAAGGCAATTTAAAACAAGTGCGATATAAAAAAAGACTGTTTAAAACATGCTATAAACTCTATGTGTATA